GGCAGAGGCAGAGGCAGAGGCAAGAGGATTCCAAGTTTGAGCCTAGCTGTGGGGGTTAAAGAGCAGTTTAACAACTGAATGAAATCCTTTTTCAAAAAAGGAAGTGCTAGGATGCTGCTTAGTACGAAGGGCCTGGGTTCTATCCCCAGTAAGACAGGGAGGCCCTCCTGGAGGCCAGTTGGGGCTCAGAACCTCTCATGTGCCTGGCTGTGGCCGTTTCCTCTCCCGAGAAGTGGTGGTGGTAGTCATGGTGGTCGTGGTGGTCATGGGGCACGGAGAATTAAAAGCAATGCACATGTCATAGTCCCTAGTGCAGTGCAATAATTTTAAGCTATCGGCTGGGCATGGTGGTGCAAGCCTGTAATCCCAGCACTTGGGCTGAGGCAGGAGAATCATTGCAAGTTCGAGACCAGCCTGGGCTGCAAAGTGAGCTCAAGGCCAGCCTGAACTTCATAGCGAGACCCTGCCACAGAAAGACCAAAAAACAAAAATAACTTTAAGCTATCATAAAGTGTGGAATGTATCTTTAATGAATAATACCACAGTAGTCGTTCTACACCATAGTAAAAAAATGAGGCACAAGAGCAGCTTCTTCTTAAATGCTTTTCCTGCGGTATCTCACCAAGCTGATTTCCTCTCAGCAACAGCAGTGACTGTCAGTCTGCGTTCATCTCCTGTTATCTTATTTGTGAAAGGGGTGTGCCGTGCCTGTTTTTCCCTCTCATCTAATATTTTTATTACTATTTGTTGTTACTGCTCTTGTTATTCACCCCACCCCTTTAGAAAGCCTGAGCTTTGTGCAGCCAGGTGGCTAGGTGTGGTTCCCTTACTCTGTACAAAGGGTAGGGGTGGAACACATTGGGTCATCAGCGCTGTTTACAGCAGAGTTGCTCCCTACAGTTTGGTCAGTTGAGTTCTTAAAAGATAACTGTAGCTTTATGTGCAATTGTAAGAAATACGCAGAGAGATCCCTTAAACATCACTACACAGGTTCTTAATTATTTTTTTATTTTTTTGATCTTTTTGAGGCAGGGCCTCACTATGCTGTTCAGGCTGGTCTTGAACTCACTTTATAGCCCAGGCTAATCTTGAACTTGCAGAACTTGGAAAGATCCTCCTGCCTCAGCTTCCAGTGCTGAGATTACAGGTGTGCGCCACCACGCCCAGCTTACTACACAGTTCTAAAGTTTTATTAGTAATAAAGATTATACTTGTCCTTTGCATAACTGGTAAAACTGCAGATAGAAAGCACTTAATGAATTTTGAAAGGTGAGATTACCCTGCCTGGCGGCTGCGGCAAAGTTTAATATAGGTGTCCATATTGAAACCAGACCTCTAGGGATGAGCATGATTGTCTCAGGTAGAGAATGAAAGTGGGGAATGAGATGAGCCAGGACCTGGTAAGAGCTCAGAGCTGGCTGCCCCGGGGAGGAGCAGTAACGCTGAGTGCTGAACTGCGTGCCGCGTGCGCATTGGCTCTTTAGAACTCAGGTGTTCACAGTCTTTCATTAGTCACAGGTCTGGCTGCTGCATATTCTGTTTTTGATGTAGAATACTTGGATTCTGAGAGTCTGATTTACTAACGAGGTTTTTCTCATGCTTTTAGAATGACAGTCAGGACCGGCAGGAGCATGGTGATAGGCGGAGACCTGGCAACCCTGAGCCGGTATCTAATGGGCGAGCCCAGGGGAGCTCCCGGCAGGTGGTGGAACAAGACGAGGAAGAAGATGAGGAGCTGACACTAAAATACGGCGCCAAACATGTCATCATGCTGTTTGTCCCCGTGACCCTCTGCATGGTAGTGGTTGTAGCTACCATCAAGTCAGTCAGCTTTTATACTCGGAAAGATGGGCAGCTGTACGTATGAACGTTTTGTTCTCGAGGGTGATGAGGTTTTTCTTCACAGCATTTCATTACCGCCTTGAAGGCCTTGTACTGGAGGAGTGTGAGAGAGTCTGTCTTCTCTGAAGGCCAGGAGCAGTTGAACAACGGGCTGTTACTTCCCTTAAGTGATGCAGTGGGTGCTGCAGAATTGTTTCTTAAAGGTGTCATTGGATAGCACAGAAGTTATGTGGAATTGAGCACGTTCAGAATAATTTTTCCATCATCAGGGCTCTGAGGTCATTGTCAGCCCCTCACCCCCATGTTATTAACAGAATCAAAGGAAAAACTGAAAACATCAAGTCTTAAAAAGGACTGGAAACAGGATGGCTCCCAAAAGCAGTAACAGTTGTCATAGAATGGACCCATCCCAGTGTGTTTCTCTGTGAGATACAGGTTTCTAGAAAGAGGTTTTGATTAGCCAGTCTTGGTCATGTACCTACACTTGATATCACTGTGACTGACACACATGCAGTGTGTCTGGAATCTCTTAGTAGTTGAGATCATGATGACCAAAAAATGAGTTTCCCACTGTAAATGCAAATGTCAGTTAATCCTCCTCTATGGGGGTAGGTAGTGTTACCTCCATCTTGCTGAGGGTGAAACTGAGGCCTAGAGAGGTTAATAACATTGCCAAGTTTATAAAACTAGAAAGTGACCTTCGTGTATCTGATTTCGCTAGGCTCAGCCCTAAGGCTCTGTCTTTTTTTTATTAAGTTGTTAAATTTTCATTGGGTTTATTTTTGTAGTTTTCTTTTTAATACATGTTTGTAGTACATAATGGTCATATTCATCATGGGGATTTATACATGTACATAACACATCTTAATTCTTTTAGAGCCACTTTTTTTTTTTTTTTTTTTTTGAGTTGGGGGTCTCACTATGTATTGCAGGCTTGCCTTGAACTTGCTTATGTAGCCCAGGCTGGTCTTGCATTCATAGCAGTCCTCCTGCCTCAGCTGTAATCCCCAGTGCTGGGCTTATAGGTGTGCACCACCACTCCTGGCTCAACCTGTTCTTTTTCAGTTATCACAGTTTGAAAGTATATTTATTTATATTATTGAATGTCTGATTTCCTCCTCTACTGTAAGGCTGGGGAGGGCATTTTGCCTTCAAGGGTGAGGTACAAAATAAATAGAAAAAAAAAAGGTGTTAATTGAAAGGATAAATAACTAACAGAAGCTAGCACTCTGAGCTTGAGAACTATTGTGTGGATTCCTGATGCTATTGGTATTAGCCCTAGGTCTCTAAGAAAAATGCTATAATTCCGATGTCCATCTAGTTCTGTCTCTAGGAGCTAGAGTTTTAAGAAGAATTTTAAGTGAGATTTAGAAGGTGAGATTTTGAAGGGTGAGGTTTGGCTATCACAGGACAAGACCTGGCAAGCTGTGGCCCAAGCTTGTCTGCCCACCTCCTGTTGTGAGTAAAATCACTGGAACTACCACCATGTCCATTCATTGATATTTTGTCTGTGGCTGCTTTTACACTATAGAGGCAGAGTTGAATGGTTGCGGGGACCCTGTAACTCACAAAACTTAAAATATTTACCATCTGGCCCTTTATAGAAAGCCTCCTGACCCTGTTTCAGAAAATCAGGACAGCTGCTATCAGTGAAGACGCGCCTGTTTCCTCTCCTCCCACTGAGTCCACACCTGTGCATCAGCTTGTGGGAGCCGAGGGCTCAGGCTCCTCTTTCTTCTTTGACTCTTGTCCTCTGAGTTGCTTCAAGGTCCATACTGGATCCCACCTTCATCGACAGCAGGGAAGAGAAGGACACAGGGCATCTCTCTAGTAGAATGTACTTTTTTCTAGGAAGTTCCTTATACAGTGTATAGTTCATTGGCCACACTTAACTACGGGAGGTAGAAGTAAAGCCTTTTGGCTGAGACCAGCACCTGGAATAGAAATAGTTATGCAGCTCAGGCTGGCCTTGAGCTCACTTTGTAGCTCAGGCTGGCCTCGAACTTGCAGTGATCCTCCTGCCTCAGCCTTCTTAGTGCTGGGATTACAGGCGTGCACTACAACGCCCAGCTGAAAGTATTTTAATGGGAGTGAGAAACAAAGGGAAGATTGCTGTCAAGACAACTGTACAGATGAAAGACGGCAGTGACAAACCATATTGTCCTCCTCGGAAACCACTAGAGGACTAGTCAGCCTAGGTAGTTTATGCAGCAAAATCTTGTTTATTTCGCAGATTACTAATAGGTACACCGCGAGGAAAATGTTTGGTGAGATAATTATTTCAGTTCAAAGCTCCACTAGATGGAGCCAGTGCCTGGCTCACATATAAGTTCATCTCCCTATCTTGGATACTTCTTTTTATTTTGAAGCATTTTAGAGTGTAACTATTTTTCTTAGTTAAAAATTCTTAGCCAGACTGATGAAATGGGAGAAACTGACTTGTGTCAGTTTAGTAAAATAAAACAGAATGACGGTGCTGGAGAGAGTATGTCATTTGGAACACCCATGAACACTCACGCAGGGCTTTGTGTTTTGTGTCATTACAGAATTTATACCCCGTTCACAGAAGACACAGAGACTGTGGGCCAGAGAGCCCTGCACTCAGTGCTGAACGCCGCCATCATGATCAGTGTCATTGTGGTCATGACCATCCTCCTGGTGGTCCTGTATAAATACAGGTGCTATAAGGTAAGCCTGAGATGGCGGGCTTTCTGCCTCTTCCGTTTATGCTTGCATTTTTCTGTCACATACCTTACTTGGGCTAGTAAAGAAAAAGGTCTTGTATTTCAGACCTGGTTAATTTTTTGCTATCTTCTCTGTAATTGTGGAGTATTTTAAAAATACAAAAAGGCATAAATGGAGAACAAATATTTTTCATGTGTACTTGTGTACTTAAGATTTCCTGAAGGAATAGATACCCTGAAATCTTTGTATATGCCCTCATTCACAAATAGTACCATGAAATACGGTTTTCCTCATCAAATATTTTAAAATTCGGATTCTCATATTTGAGGGTGGAACAGGAAAGCCGCCTTCAGATGTTGGTGTTAAAACACACTGGTGAGCTGGGCATAGTGGTGCATCGCTATAATCCCAGCACTCAGGAGGCGGAGGTAGGAGGACTGTTGCGAGTTCGAGGCCAGCCTGGGCTACAAAGTGAGCTCAAGGTCAGCCTGAACTGCATAGCGAGACCCTGTCTCAGAAAGACAAACAAAAAACTTTTAAAAACCACTGTGGTGACTGACCATATCTTGCTTCTGAACTGTCACCACCCATCTGCACAGGTCTCCTCTGTGGTAGTCCTGCTTCTGTCCTTGGGAAGTGGGCCAGGGCGGTCGTGCAGGAAAGACACAGGCCCAGACCTCCATCCGCCCTTGCCCTAGTTGTGGCTCACTAAGTGGCTCACTCCTGAACTCTAGCCGCATGGCACATGTTTTGGACTCAAGCTTCAAAATCTTATGAACTACTGTAAGTCATAACCCTTACAGTCATTCCAAGTGTCAGGAATTATGTTAACTTCCCAAATACTAGAGTCTCCTCTATTTCCTTCCAGGTATTTTTCTAGTATATTTTATTTTGTTTTTTTCTGTTTTTCTGTTTTTTTCTTCCAGTACCAGGAATCGAACTCATGACCTTGTGCTTACCAGGCAGGCGCTTTGCCACTGAGCTAAATCCCCAGCCCCTCTAGTACATTTTAAAACATGATTAAAATATAGAATCAGTGAGTGCTGTTCCTTAGCTTTTACTTTGGTATAAGCATTTTTTCTGTGTTACAAGTTCTTAGAAAATATTTCTGTGGCTACGTAATATTTGACTCAATGAGTATATACTGTAGTTAGGTCTTCTGATTTCTCTGATATTAGACAGTTTCCTTTTTTTTTTTTTTTTTTGGTCTTTTTTGAGACAGGGTCTTGCTATATGGTTCAGGCTGGCCGTGAGTTCACTTTGTAGCCCAAGGTGGCCTCAAACTTTCAATGATCTGCCTGCCTCAGCCTCCCGAGTGCTGGGATTACAGGCATGCATCACCATACCCTGGTGCTAAAAAAATGATGTCTTTATGCATAGAACTTTTTTGATAATTTCCTTGGGGTAAAATCCTGGACATGGAATTTCTGGAGCAATTTAAATCTGCATTTATGGCTCTGTCAGTGTGCAAACTCCCTTTTTCAAAGGGTTATGTCAGTTTGTGTGTAGCACCAGTAATGAATGAGAGCATCTGTTTTACCCCACCTTCACAACAAGGTTTTTTGAGATAAGGTCTCACTCTGTAGTTCAGGCTGGCCTGGAACTCACAGTGAGCTTCCTGCCTCAGCCTCCCCAAGCACTGGGATTGCAGACATGTGCCACCATGCCTGGCAAGTTTTTTTAACTGGTGGTAATTTTTATAGGCAGAAAAAATGTCTTAACTTGCATGTAGTTGATTACTAGTTAAGATGGGATATTTTCTTAATTCTCACGAACTCTAAAATGATGCAGAGCTTAACCTTGCTTGTTGGCCCTGTCGATTCTGTGAGTGGGTAGAATAGTTACCCTAAGAGACCGTAGAATAGGGTAAAATAGTTAGCCTAAGGGACTGTCGAGCCTGTGAGTGGGTAGAATAATTACCCTAAGGGACCATCTGTGGGCCACTATTATTATATAGAGAGAAGGTGAAAGGCGTGTGTGGTAGCAGGTCCTCAGTACTTGAGCCTCAGAGCAAGTGATCTAAACCCTCTCTCTGCTTTGAATATGTTCTTTGCTAATTTTCTTTATCCTTATCACCAGCTATATCATATCTGCAAGTGCTTACCTGCTGGTTCTTTCTCTGCTTTATTACACTCACTTTTTTTTTTCTTTTTGTCTTTTTGAGACAGGGTCTCGCTATGCAGTTCAGGTTGGCCTTGAGCTCACTTTGTAGCCCAGGCTGGTCTCAAACTCGCAACAATCCTCCTGCCTCAGCCTTCTGAGTGTTGGGATTACAGGCATGTGCCACCTCGCCCAGCCTACACTCACTTTTTGACTTTTGACTTACCTGATTGTATGCTATTTTGTTCTTTATCAGATTTTATTAAGGGGTGAATTTCTACTTTTTCTTTCTTGTAATCTAGAATTTACTCCCAGGTGTTCTGCTTTTCTTTTTCAAAATACCTGTGTCATTAGATAGATGGAACTCTAAACTTAAGATTGCCTAAATTCTTTTTCCTAAGAATCTTAGAAATTATTTAATTTTTATGTATTTGCTTATTTCAAGTACAAGCACCATCTCTAAACTACCTCCCTTTCTCTGCTTTTAAATGTGAGTTTTCCTTTTAGTGGACAGTGTATTAAACCACACAGACCATGTCTGCCTTATTCCATTTAATCTTCACGTAGTTCTGTGAAGTATCCGTGTTTTACAGATGCGGAGCTGAGAAAGCATCACAGTTACGTGGATTAGAAGCTAATGGGTCAGTTTGGGGATCTGAGCCCAGAGTTTGGCTTGGATCAGCAGAGCCGTGACATCAGACTCCTTGCAGATCCAGTTCTCAGTGCCCTGAAGTGGTCTCTGTCCTCGTGGCTCCAGAGAAACTGCGTATTCTGGCTGCCAGTGTTATTTCCCCTGGTCATATCTGCTGACCTTTTGAACTTAATTTCTCTGGACCTTATTGCCATGGCTTAATACCATTGCCCTCCTCTCTTCAGAAGAATTTCTCCTAAAACATTCCAGTCCCGAGTCTCTGACATGGACTTTTGCCTCTCTCATTGCTTCTTGGAAAAGTATCTATAACCTCATGGTTTAAATTTGCACCCTCAAATACAACTTTTCGCCCAGAAGTCTCTGCTTTTTAGGCCCATGGTTAGTTGATTTTTTTTTTTTTTTTTGCCTTTGTCTGTCAGTGACATTCAGATATCTGCTAGCACATAACTTGGAACCAGTTGTCTTTTATGCCATGCCCTTATTATCAGTTGGTCTGCTCTGCCAGGGCCTTGTTGCTCTTAATTGTGTAATCATTGCCGTCGCTCATATCCGTTATTATTACCCGTACTCATCAATTGCTTTTTTCTTCATGTCTAGCATTTCTGATGCCAGAGTCTTGCTGTGCAGTTCAGGCTGGCCTTGAACTCACGACAGTCTCCTGCCTCAGCCTCCCGAGTGCTGGGATTACAGGTGTGCACGACAACGCCTGGCTTTGCTGGCCCTTTCTACACAATTTCCCTAGCTTGATTCTTAGCTGGCCTTATACACCAGCAGTGGCAAACCTATGGCACGTGTTCTGCTGCAGACTGTATCATTGAAAGCTCTTAACAGATTCACTGTCACTCTTCTGAACTACCTTCTCCCTTTCAAATATCACAAAAGCAAAAATAGTAGGGCTAATAATATAGCTCAGAGCAAGAATGTTGCCCAGAATAGGTGAGGTCTTTGGTTCAGTGCCTAGCACTGCAAAAGTAGTAATAGTAATAGGAGGGGGGGAGGGTACTGTTCACTATTAAAAAATATTCAAAATAGGTAGAACTGTGCATGTTGGAGTTATCACCATAACTGCCACTCCCCAGATGGACCCTGTTAATAGTTTGATGGACTTTTTTTTTTTGCTTTTTACTTGAATACTAATACCTGTAAATACATCCTTTTTTTAAGAACAGAAATTGAGGTGTATTAAAGCTCCTGTTTTATAATAATAATTCTCCCCTCTCCTAGTGCCTTTCTCTTCTAACTTGAGTATGTTTTAGAACTGTTCATCTCCGGTGATTTTCTTCAAATACTACTAATTGTATATTTTTTTTACTTCTAGAATTTCTGCTTGGTAGGTGTTTCTTGTTTTTTTTTTTTTTTTCAGTGCTGGAGATATTTGGTTGTTTTAAAATGTTTGGGTATTGTCTCTTTGCTTGCTCATATTTTACAGTTTTTTCTTTCGTTACATATATACTTACTTATGTTCTATATCCAGCTGTTTCAGTATCTGAAGTTTTGGGAGGAGCATAATTCTGCTGACTTTTACTCATAGTGCTTTGTTTCCTCTAGTAGTCTGTGATCATTTTGAGTTTATATTTACTAAGGTATAGGTTTTTTTTTTTTTTTTTGTTTTTCTCCGGTACCGGGAACCGAACTCACGACCTTGCACTTGCCAGGCAGGCGCTTTTTCCGCTGAGCTAAATCCCCAGCCCCACTAAGGTATAGTTTTGAATATTGTATGAGACCTATCTTTTGCATGGACACTAAAACCTAAAACTTACAGTTGTTGAAGATTAGCATATACTGTTAAGCTACCTGAGGACTTTATACCATCTTAACCCCCCTGATTCCTATTTCTCCCCTTTTTTTTGGTAGTAGTGGAATGGTTCTAAAAATTTCCTTCCTCCTTTGGACCTTGAACTCTATTTCAAAGTATATTTAAAATATTTAGTATAAGTTATGTTTTATAGGGAGAAAGTTTTCAGGATCTGATCCTCCATATTGCTGGAATAGAAGTCCCTTTCAGTTACTTCAGTGGTTTCCAGTTTACTGATGAAATTAACGTCTGTGGTTGTGAACTAAAGCGCACATGAACGCAGGTCGTATGTCCTCTCCGCGCCCCGTTTGCCGCCTTGTTGCTCATCTAGAACCACCTCTCGCCTTTCCTGCGCTCCAGCTGCTCCAGGTTTCTCCAGCCTGAGTGCAGTCTGCTTACCCCTGAGCTGATTTCCTGTGTCAGCTCTGCTGACCTCACGTCTTTCAAGCAATTAGG